GCGCAGGATGCTTGAGTATCACATGCCACATTCCCCCGGTCCCCCTCTCTACTCCCGTTACTGCTGCAGGCACACCCCAGCAGCACCTTGCCAGGTATCTGCACCGAGGATCCATTTCCTTCCCAGGCGCTCACCACTTAGCCTCCTTTGCACAAACCTGGAAGAGCCAGGGAGAGAACACCCTGACTGGCGACCCTTAACCAACAGGGAAGGATGGCAGGAGGACGAATACCCACCTCTGCCAGCCCTTCAGTGGAAAGCTCTGAGGTGCCTTCTGCAAGGCTCGTAAGACAGTCCCAGCAGGATCAAGGCCCCCTCCCACACCAGTGGCCAACTCCGTAACAAACCCTCATATTTACCGGCTTTCCTGCCTTCTCTGTTTTGAACTTCCCAGGCTCCTGTTCTGTTTCCCTGGAATCACTTCCCCAGTTAAACCACCTGCATGCAGGCCTTGTCTCAGGTTCTGCTTTCAGGCCCCAAACAGGGCTCTCCTGGTGCCCAGCACCAGGGCAACTAATGATCTTCTCTCTCCCACTTCTGTTTTCCCCCAGGACACAGAGTTCTGCTCTGATCTATTGTTTGCTGGATTCAAGAGCCACCGCATTTCCCGGGGGTGGGAGGGGGAACCATTCTTGTTTATCCAATAACAATTAATTCTCAGCCATCATCTCTAGTCTTGAACCACACAAACAAAAAGGTACCTTCAGCAAAGAGGTATCCCATCCAGGCAGATGCTGGGTTGAGGTTGAGGGATCAGGATGCCCTCCAAGCTTTGACCTAAGTCCATGATTCTGTCTTCCTTTTAGGACAAACTGCAGGGGCAAGTCACCCGTGCAGCCATTTGAGGTCCTGAGTTGTGTGTGTTTAGATTTCCTGTATCATTTGATTATAAAAGCGAAGCATGCCAGTTGTCCAGGTTACATCAATACAAAATGTATAGCATGGAAAATAAAAACACCTCCCCCATAATCCCACCCTCTTCACTCGAGGGTGGTTATTTTTCGTTGCCCTGGGACCAGGACATTCCCAGCATCAGGGAATGAAGCCAGTTGGTCCCTTCAGGGACAGCCAGTGCCGTTACAAAGTACCGTTTCTTCTTAGGGAGACTTCCATTCATTCAATGAGTATTTTTTGAGTATCTACTAGGTGCCAGGTACCGGGCAAGCCACTGTGAGTGAGATGGATGAGGCCCTCGTGGCATTTTCCCTGATCTCCTCTGTGACAGGATGTCGAGCAGCTCTCTTGCCCGGGAATATTCACCCAGATGCTTCTGGCTCCCCAGGAGTCCTTGCAAGGGGCTACTGCTGTCCCACTGTGCTTCCCACATCCACAGGGAAGGGCTGTGCCAGAACCCAGGACGCAGAGCAGGGATGGGACTGTGCTGTGCTCTTCCTGTGGCTGGGCTTTTGTGGGGAGGCTCCAGCCACCCGGGGGGGGCCTGCCTTTCAGGCCCATCAGATCCTTCCCTCTTGCCCTGAAAGGCCCTGTCTCTGATCATCTCAGCCAGAAGTCACCCCCAACTATAACCTGTGTACACCTGAGGGTCTGCCTCATGGGTGAACATGGTGCCTTGGCAGAACTGGCAGGCTCCTCTGGTTTCCCCAGTGCCCACTGAGCAGGGACCCACAGCGGAGAGATAGGGATGGTGGAAGGACAGGGAGTGGGACTGTGAAGCCAGCAGGCAGGGTATGGAGAGGCAGGAGATCAATTTGTTGTTGTTTTTATATGAGGGTGCCTCTGTGTGGAACTCTCTCCGTTCATGGGGTGGCTGGGGAGAGGAGGCTGGGGCATGAGTGGTGGCAGAGGGCCCTCTCAGCTCAGGAGCTGGGCATGGCTTTGCGGGCAGGGTGCTCCACTGAGAACCATAGGGCTGGCATGTGTGCCAAGAAAAGGGAAGGGGCCCAAAGAGGGTGCAACACAGTGTCTCTTGTGCCAAAGCAGGACCAGGCACGATATTTATCAGCCTTTTAAAAAACATTAGCACAGTTCTCCCCCTACCCCCACTGTTTTTTGAGATAGGGTCTCACTCTGTTGCCCAGGCTGGAGTGCAGTGGTACGATCTTGGCTCACTGCAACCTCTGCCTCCTAGGGTCAGGCGATTCTCTCACCTCAGCCTCCTGAGTAGCTGGGACTTCAGGCACCCGCCAGCACGCTTGGCTAATTTTTGTATTTTTTGGTAGAGACAGGGTTTTGCCATGTTGGCCAGGCTGGTCTCAAACTCCTGACCTCAAGATCCACCTGCCTCGGCCTCCCAAAGGCTGGGATTACAGGTGTGAGCCACTGCTCCATGCCGTACATTACATCTCCCTTTGTAAAACATAAAAGTCATGTTCTCTTTAACATCATGTGACATTTCAAAATAAATGTTTAAACCTCCAGCAAAGGCTGGGTGCGGTGGCTCACACCTGTAATCCCAGCACTTTGGGAGGCGGAGGCGGGCGGATCACGAGGTCTGGAGATCGAGACCATCCTGGCTAACACGGTGAAACCCCGTTTCTACAAAAATTGAGCTGGGTGTGGTGGCGCTTGACTGTAGTCCCAGCTGCTCGGGAGGCTGAGGCAGGAGAATGGCGTGAACCCAGGAGGCAGAGCTTGCAGTGAGCTGAAATCGCACCACTGCACTCCAGCCTAGGCGACAGAGTGAGACTCTGTCTCAAAAACGAAAAACAAAACAAAACAAAAACCCTCCAGCAAAGGCCAGGCATGGTGGCTCACACCTGTATTCCCAGTACTTTGGGAGGCTAAGGCGGGTAGATCACTTGAGGTCAGGAGTTCGAGACCAACCTGGCCAACATGGTGAAACCCTGTCTCTACTAAAAATACAAAATTTAGACAGGCATGGTGGCGGGTGCCTGTAATCCCAGCCACTTGGGAGGCTGAGGCAGGAGAATTGCTTGAACCCAGGAGGTGGAGGTTGCAGTGAGCTGAGATTGCCACTGCACTCCAGCCTGGGCGACAGAGTGAGACTCTGTCTCATAAATAAATAAATAAATGCCTTCCTTTTTAAAAACCAAAAACCAAAAACAAAAAACCACAAATAACTCTCTCCAAAAAAAAAAAAAAAAATCCCCCCGAAAACCCAAAAACCTCCAGCAAATTAAAACAGTGGGGCAGCCCAGCGCAGTGGCTCATCTGCTCTTTGGGAGGCCAAGGTGGGCAAATCACTTGAGGTCAGGAGTTCAAGACCAACCTAGCCAACATAGTGAAACCCCATCTACTAAAACTACAAAAATTACCCTGGGCTTGGTGGTGTGCGCCTGTAATCCCAGGTACTCGGGAGGCTGAGGCAGGAGAATCGCGTGAACCCGGGTGGCGGAGGTTGCAGTGAGCGGAGATCACGACACTGCACTCTAGCCTAGGTGACAGAGACTCCTTCTGGAAAAAATAAAAAATAGAAATAAAATAAAACAAATGGGGCAAAGTTTTGCTTTATTTAAATTACCATCCTCCTATATCTGATGTTAGGTCCCCTACCTTTGGAATCAAAGCCCTGAGAAGTTTGGGGCTGAAGTTGGCGCCTTTTCAGAGTGTGAGGGAATGGTAGAAACAGCAGTGGCAGGATCGATTCTGTAATGGATCCATTCCCTGAGGGATGCAAGGTGATGCCTGAGGTTCTGGAAGGGGTGCCCGCGGGTAACTCTCAGGTGTATGGGGAGGCAGCTCCATCCAGGGTCTGGATAGACGAGTTTCTCTCCCCTCTGTTCATTCCTTCAGCTCTCCCCAGGGGAGATGACCCCCTATTGCTGCTGGCTGTCCTCAGCACCCACCTCCCCACACGTGCTTTTGTCCCAAAACATTCTCTCTCCTCTTCCTTTATTTAAATTCCCAAAGCCTGTAGTTGATCTTAGCACGGTGTTCTGTCAAATGCAAGGAAAATACTTTATGCTGTGGTGTAAGAGACTTACAGGTTTAACTATTCCAAGGAGCATTTGCATCTTTAAGGGAGAGTTTGTGAACTCAAACACATCTCAAACGGGTAGAATGTGCACGGGATATCTCTTCGAAGCAGGGTCTCAGGAACTCTTCCAGTTCCACGTGCGGTGCCCACCGGGCCACCGCCACCCGCCTCCTCCGAGCAGGACAGGGCTCCGTTGCCGGGCCCCTCTGCGGAAAGCTCAGGCCCGGCGCTCCGAAGTCTGGGCTCCCGGGGTGGGCGGGGATACTTAGGCCCCACGCGCCCCGTAGTGGAGCGGTCCCCAAACCTGAGCCCCGGCCTCTGCCGGTCCGGAAGGAAACCGTGGCGGAGGAGGGGGCGGCGGCAGGGTGTCCCTAGCGCGCCTCACCTGCGGGCGGGCGCGTCTCGGTCTTCCATCCTCCTAGACCGGGCCTGCTCGCGGGAAGGCGTGGATTCGCCCCAGCCCTCCCGCCCGCCGCCCACGCCCGCGCTTCCACGCAGCCGTCTCCCCAGCCCGCCGCCCCCGCCGGATCGGGGGCTGCCCGGGCCCCTCCAGCTCTCGCCCGCGCGGATCCCGGGACCGCCGCCCGGCACCTCCCCCGCCGCCCCACTCCGGGACGCGCCGCCGAGAGGGCGGTGACTGGGGCGAGGGAGGGGCCGCCCCGCCCGCCTCCCGCCTCCCGGGGCCTGGAGCGCGCGTGGCCCGGGAGCCGCCGGCGCCGCGCGGGGAATAGCTGTGCAGCACGCCGAGCCCGGACTCGGCTGGCTCGGCTCGGCGCCGGCGGGCGAGAGGATGCTGGCGGGCTTCCCCGTGTTCGGCCCGCGCTCCCGCCGGGGAGGGCCCCGCGCGCGCCCCTAGCCGCCGCCGCCGCCGCCGCCGCGGGTGTAGGGGAGGGGTCCGGAGAGCCGCGCTCGCCGCCGCCCGCGCCTGCCGGCTCCCGCACGGCCCCTGCACGGCCCCGGCCCCCGAGCCTTAGCCCTAGGGCGGGCGCGCTGGGCCGGCGCCCCGGGATCTCCCAGCCCTAGTCGCCGCCGCCTCCTTCCCGCTGCGGCCGGGCGCCCGCGGATGCTGAGGGGCAGCCCTGCGCCTCTCCCGGTCGGATCCCGGGCCTGACGGCGAGAGATCGCGCTCGGGCCGGCCGGGCCCCGAGGCACTGGCGGGGCGGCGCGGCTCTGCGGAGAGCAGCCCTCGGGCGCGCCGAGCCCTCCCGCCCCAGCCCTCGCGGGGACCGTCCCGGAGCACGCGGTGGCCGAGTTCCCGCACAGGTAAACGCAGGGGCAGGGCCAGGCTTCCGGGGGGGAAGACAGCGCCCTGAGCGTGGGAAGGGGGCCGGATCGGAGCCCGAGTCTCCAAGGGCTTGGTGGAAAAAGGAAGTAAACAGAAGGAAGGCTCAGGAATCCCCAGGATGGTCCTAGTTTCTTTCCGGCACATTTTATTTCCAGCTTCTAAGGACTGGGCCTGGAGGGAATTTAGGTGAGGAAGTCAGGGACTGAGAAAGAAGAGATGACAGAGAGAAACCGGGTGCCAGGGATGGAGAGGCGGCTAGGCCCTTCCACAAGCCAGGGACAGGAAATCGAGTGTCTGGCGTGGACAGGACTAAGTGTGCGTGCGGTGGGCGGTGGTGTGAGCGGGGGTGGCAGGGAAGGCCCTGGATTGGGAGGCTCTTGCAGCAGAAATCCTTTTATGAGGGTTGGGCGGGTCATGGGGAAACCACAAGGTAGGAGGGAAGAGGTGCTTCTACTCAGCAATGCCCTTTTCAGTTCTAGCTGATCAGTGCTCCCTGTGCCCTGGAAACCCGCTCTGCGTTCCTGCTGGAGGTGGCCGCCCCTCCGCCCCAGCCAAGAAGAGGCCCTCCCCAGGTCTCAGCGAGCCCTGAGAGGTAGCCCAGTCCAGAGCTCTTCCTCTGATCCCGGTCCACTTCTCTAGGGCCAGTAGCAGACACCAGCCAGGATGCCGAGGAACCAGGGCTTCTCTGAGCCCGAGTACTCGGCCGAGTACTCAGCCGAGTACTCCGTCAGCCTGCCCTCCGACCCTGACCGCGGGGTGGGCCGGACCCATGAAATCTCGGTCCGGAACTCGGGCTCCTGCCTGTGCCTGCCTCGCTTCATGCGGCTGACCTTCGTGCCGGAGTCCTTGGAGAACCTCTACCAGACCTACTTCAAAAGGCAGCGCCACGAGACCCTGCTGGTGCTGGTGGTCTTTGCTGCCCTCTTTGACTGCTACGTGGTGGTCATGTGTGCTGTGGTCTTCTCCAGCGACAAGCTGGCTCCCCTCGCCGTGGCTGGAATTGGACTGCTGTTGGACATCATCCTCTTCGTGCTCTGCAAAAAGGGGCTGCTCCCGGACCGGGCCACCCGCAGAGTGGTGCCCTACCTGCTGTGGCTGCTCATAACTGCCCAGATCTTCTCCTACCTGGGCCTGAACTTCGCGCGTGCCCACGCGGCCAGTGACACCGTGGGCTGGCAGGTCTTCTTCGTCTTCTCCTTCTTCATCACGCTGCCCCTCAGCCTCAGCCCCATCGTGATCATCTCCGTGGTCTCCTGTGTGGTGCACACCTTGGTCCTGGGGGTCACTGTGGCCCAGCAGCAGCAGGAGGAGCTGAAGGGGATGCAGCTGCTGCGCGAGGTGAGTCCTGCCCACTGTCCCCCTGTGGCGTCCTCTCCCGCAGCTCTCACCAACGTGGCACTTGTTGGAGTTGATGTTTGCTTTGCCTTTGAGTCAAAATGTGTTCTGGGGGCCTCCAGGGCTCTAACCTCTCTCCCTAGTCCCTGCCTTTGCACCCCCGTACCATTGCCCGGAGTCTGCCTGTGCTTGGCCCCAGGGAAAGGAGCATGTCAGGGCACTGGGCCTCAGGGCCGCTCTTCACCTGTGCCCAGCCTAAGCGTGTGACAGGAAGGTCCACCCAGGGCTGGTCTTGAGGCAGCATTGTCCTGGCCATTCCCTGTCAGTGACCCTGGTGAGGAGGACTTCCCGTGGGAAGAGGGCTCCTCGATTCCCATCTCTCCCCCAACACTGACTAGCTGTGTGGACTCAGTGCCCCTTTGTCAAATGGGGATAACATCTGCCCTGCCTGCGTGACACTTTTGTTGTCAGGCTCACAGGAGATTTGGGGGAAAGCACGTTAGGATACGTGAAGGGCTGCACAGAGGGAAGACGCAGTTGTCCTATTTCCTGCCTCCAGGCAGCTCGGGCTGCCTGGGGAGTTCTATGAAGTAGAGAATGTCAGTCTCCCCACTGAAGGTGTGGTGTGGGCATGCAAATAGGGGCAGTCATGCCGGCCACTGTGACGTAGGATCTGCTGGTCCTGGAGCGTGTGTTCTACTGGAAGGGGTGGAATTTCGGCCTCAGTTTAACTATTATTTATAGTATTGGGGTGGAATTTCGGCCTCAGCTTAACTATTATAGTGCTGTGTTCCCACCAAGTGCTGGGCCCTCAGGGGCTGCAGAGGCCGGGGGACCTGAGGGACAGTAGGCAGTGTGTGTCCCTGGGGAGCCAGCAAGCCGGTGACCAGAGGCGGAGATATCTGCATCTGGTTTGATGCCCAGCCTGCCAGCCTTGTGCCAATGATGGTCAAGAGAGGCTCCCCCACTTCCTGCCCCTGCAGTGCTCTGTCTGGTAGAGACGTCTTAACTCCCACGCCAGCTCTGTTCTGTGGTTAGCGGGGCTGGGGTAGAGTCAGCTCTGAAGCGGTGACCTTCTGGGTATCAGGAGAGGCAGGGCGTGTCCAGAATCCTTGCTGACTGATGTGAGCCTTTAGCAGCCATGGAGGTCAGTGCCTGGGCCCTGAGACCAGGTGCTGTGGGCAGGCCCAGGGTGAACGGACAGAATCTTCCACTCCTCTGCTAATTTCTCCAGTCATGCCTCAGCCTGCTGATTTGATCTAGAAATGGGCAGAGGATGTTAACATAGGCAGGGGCCTGGCAGGGCATCTAGTCCAGACTCGCCATTTTACAGAGGAGGAAACGGAGATAGGTGATAACTGGTTCACTGTCACCCAGCACTTTGGTGGCAGAAACAGGACGGGAGCCCAGGCATTGACTCCCAGCCCAGGGCTCATTTGTGTGTGTTCCATGGAGCACCGAGAGCTGCCTGAGAGCAGGAGCTTTGCTTCCCATCCCACCTCCTGGGGACAGTGGCTGTGTGCTGCCCTGCCGTCCCCACCCCAAATCTCTGTAGAGGGGGCTATGAGTTTCTGGTCATCAACTAGGTGGAAACACCAGTCTTGTCTCTTCGGGCCATGCATTAGCCAGTTCCAGGTTCTTTTTTTTTTTTTTGAGACACAGTCTCGCTCTGTCGCCAGGCTGGAGTGCAATGGCGCAATCTCAGCTCACTGCAACCTCTGCTTCCCGGGTTCAAGGTATTCTGCCTCAGCCTCCCGAGTAGCTGAGATTACAAGCATGCGCCTCCATGCCTGGCTAATTTTTGTATTTTTAGTAGAGATGTGGTTTCACCATGTTGGCCAGGATAGTCTCGATCTCTTGACCTCATGATCCGCCCGCCTCAGCCTCCCAAAGTGCTGGGATTACAGACGTGAGCCACTGTGCCAGGGCGTCCCAGGTTCTTTTTAAGTTTAAGGTCTGAGGTCTGGGGATGACTGGTCTCTCTAGCTCCATCTCCTTAGGTGGACAAGGAGCTTATTTTGAGGCTCCTGGAGCTTCCAGGGAAAAGGACTGCAAAGACGTGGCCACAGGGCTGGGCCGGGGCCTGGGTGCCCCACCATGTGGCTGCTTGGAGATCACTTCTAAACTCATGATGGTTTTCCTTTGGGTAGTGCTAAGACATAAAACCCTAAAACTTAGAAAACAGAAAAAAAAAAAAAAAGATAGAAATCAAGAGTAAAAATATTAGCATCCCAGAGGAGCCCGACCTTGGCATGGAAGCAGTGCCTGGGAGGCAGCTTTGGGAGCAGAGCAGGAGGGGCAGAGGGCTCTCAAGGTCCGATTGGGAGCCTGAGATTGAAGGAGAAGGCCCCAGCTTACAGTGGGCTGTGTTCCAGAAGCTTCTGAGTCACTGGTTGGGACTAATGTGACTTTTTTAAAAGGTGCCTGGGTTCCCAGGCCCACCCACCAGAGTCTTCCTCAACTCACAGCATCCCAGCATTTGGCCTCTGAAGACGATGGAAACAGGGCTGGGCATGGTGGCTCATGCCTGTAATCCCAGAACTTTGGGAGACTGAAGCAGGCGGATCACCTGAGGTCAGGAGTTCAACACTAGCCTGGCCAACATGGCGAAACCCCGTCTCTACTAAAAATACAAAAATTAGCCAGGAGTGATGGGGCGCGCTTGTAATCCCAGCTACACAGGAGACTGAGGCAGGAGAATCACTTGAACCCAGAAGGTGGAGCTTGCAGTGAGCCGAGCTCACATCACTGTACTCCAACCTGGGCGACAGAGCAAGACTCCGTCAAACAACAACAACAACAACAACAAACACGGGCTGCAGCAGCCTGCGTTGCTGTGGGGAGGGATACCTGGGACAGCGGTCTCCCTGAGCCGTGGAGTGAGGAGGCGTCATTCACCTCCCCTGCTGCTGTTGCCTCCTGGGATGTGGGCCCCATCAAGGATGGGGGGCAGGGGCTGGAGGATAGGATGCAAGGACCAGGGGGCTAGGCCCCTCCTAGTCAGGGTAGGTCCCGGAACTTTCTCCAGACCCCAGACCCCAGGCACTGCCTTTCTCCTGCCCATGTGCTTCCCCTTGTCTTTCTCTCTCCCATCCCCTGTTGGCTCTGGCTGGCGACTCCCTCCAGGGTCGGTGGGGCATGAACGCAGTTTCCCAGTTTGAAGTAGACGCCTGGATTTCTGGGGGCTTGCGAGTTTTGTGATTTTGTTGCTGCTGTCACTGGCAGCATGAAGCTTTGCCAGTGTCAAAAGTCTTCTTCCTCTGCAGCCCTTATCCCTCCCTGCCCATGCGCGGCTCTGTGGGGAGGGACGGAAGGTACACATGGGCTGCGGCAGCCTGAGTGGTCGGAGGCCAGCCAGACAGCCTGTCCTGGGCTCCTCTCAGGAGGCCGGTGGGTGGGGTTCTGACAGGAAGAGCAGGTGATCAGAGAGTGTGGGATGGGGTGGGGCTGGGGCCCCACCAGTGAGTTAATAAATGAATATTGCTGAGCTGCATGGGCCTTGCAGCCTGCAAGGTCAGGGGATAAGAAGGGTGAGGCCATCTGACACTCAGGCTGTGCTGGGGTGGAGAGGATGTTCTGGGAGCCACCTTGGATGGGCAGGGACCTGACCAGTGGTTCTCACGACCCATCCTCTAGCCCCTGCCTGTCCCCCATTCTTTTTTTTTTTTTGAGACGGAGTTTCGTTTTTGTTGCCCAGGCTAGAGTGCAATGTTGTGGTCTTGGCTCACTGCAACCTCTTCCTCCCGGGTTCAAGTGGTTCTCCTGCCTCAGCCTCCCAAGTAGCTGGGATTACAGGCAGCCGCCACCATGCCTGGCTATTTTTTTTTGTATTTTTAGTAGAGACGGGGTTTCACCATGTTGGCCAGGCTGTTCTGGAACTCCTGACCTCAGGTAATCTGCCTGCCTTGGCCTCCCAAAATGCTGGGATTATAGGCGTGAGCCACTGTCCAGAGGAGGAAACAGAGGACAAAACAGAGATGGGTGATAACTGGTTCACTGTCACCCAGCACTTTGGTGGTGGAAATAGGATGGGAGCCCAGGCATTGACTCCCAGCCCAGGGCTCATTTGTGTGTGTTCCATGGAGCACCGAGAGCTACTCCATGGCTCCCCCATCCCAGGAGGCAGCACAGGCCCAGAGCAGCCGGAAGGGAGAGCAGATGGATCAGGAGGAGCTGAAGCTGGCAGTGTTTGCCCATTTCGCTCTCCTGGCCTGGGTCCTGCCCCGGGACCTGTTACAGAATAATTTGCCCTTTACTGCTCTAAACTGCCCCTGAGCTGGGTGAGGAGGAAGGAGGGGGCTGGGCTTAGGACCAGTATCTGCAGGACCAGCAGCCAATGGGTGCGGACAATAGGGAATGCAGCCAGGATGGTTGGGGGTGGTTGGGGGGCGTGCCTTTAGCATGTGGCAAAGTAGGGACTAGGAACTGCTGACAAATATTTTGTACCCTTACTTCAGAGCAGAAAGGCTATTTGGGAGCAAAATTCTCTCATGGAATGAAGAGCCTGTGAAGACCTTTTTCCACCAAGTAAAACATGAGGAAGCTGTGGATGTGCAGTTTCTTTCACACCTGCAAATGACACAGCAATCATTCACCCAGGGAAGGAACATTGGCTCTGAGGGGCTGGAGGGAGCTGCCATAGGGAGAGTGGGAGGAAGCTGAGGCTTCCAGAGACACCCTGTCTGCAGACAGCAGGTAGCTGTTGCATGCACCTCACCTGTTTCATCCTGGATGTTACTGGCTCCATTTCACAGATGAGGGGACTGAGGCTCAGTGAGGTTGAGAGGAGGTAGTGGGGCTGGATTACAGGGGAGGGGTCACCGGTGGGTAAGAAAGGTGGAATGGGGGACTTCCCTGAAAGCCTCTGTTTCTCTGGAACCCAGACATCTGGGCCTCCTCCTCCTTTTCTGGCTGCCCCCAAATGTAATTTTGCTAAGCAACATGACTGAACAGTGTCAAGAGATGGCAGTCCCTAAGGTATAACAGGAGGCACCCCCTTCTCC